GAAAAAGGTGTAAGGGTCATCCCCAGATACCAATCCCCCTCCCCCCTCAGCCTGGTCAGGTCACTGGCCCAAGCTCCGCCACCTCTCCACCCTTCCAGGGGAGATGGGTCACAGCTTCTGAGATCCTGAGCCCAATCTCGTAGATCCAACCAGTAATGGAGAGGAGAGGAGGGCTGGGAAAGGACCAGGGAATGCTGGAGGACAGGACTGAAAGGTGAGTTAGGAAATAGGGTTCTTGGGATGGGTAGGAGCATGGCGGGGGGCGGGGGGGGAAGGATGAGGGAGATCGAAGTAGTTTGGGGAGGAAATTTGGAAGGAGGGGCTGGGGAAGTTATTGGAAGGTCTTAGGAGAGGCTGTTAGATGCTGAGAGTATTAGAGGCTGGAGAAATTTGTTGGAAGTCCACAGACTTCATGAGCACGAGAGAGCAGAGACTGCCAGCTTGGAGCCTGGGGAAGAAGGAAAACAGGGTAACATGGGAGAAGGGTGGAAGCTGGGGAGGGAGCTAGAGCTGAGAGGATGGGATAGGGAGTGAGTTAGGGGGAGCTTGGAGAGCTGATGCAACTGAGGTTTCTAGAAAGCTTTTAGGGATAAAATGAGGGTCTCTAGCCTACAGGATAGGCGGGAAGTCGGGGAGGAGTGTCTTACCTGAAGACTGCAAGGCAGAAGGACCAAAGGATGAGAGGCCCCCGCAGGCTGAAGCCCTTCCGTGCCTTCATGTAGTTCTGCCCCACAAAGATGAGCAGCAGGTAGATCAGAACTACGAGGAATGAGGCTGCCCTGGCAGGCAGAAGGCAGAGGGGATGGGCCCATGGGTGGGTGCTGGTTAGAGGAATCCCCACTCAACTCTCCAGGTGAGTGCTCTCGGTTGGAGTCCCACTCTACCATTTACTAGCAGTGTGACACTGGAAAACCTACTTAGTTCTCTGAGCCTCAGTTTCCTTATCTGTAAAGGGGGAATAAGACTCCTCTCCTGACACCGTTAATATTTATAAAATACCTAGCACAGGCCAGGGACTACATCCAAGGTTTCTATGCTTATTGCTCTCTCAGTGGGGTTGGGAGTGGGTGACTTGGCTGCTGGCCCAGCCTAGAAGCAACCCACGCCCCGTGGGGTAAGAAGAATGTGGCAAAAGCTCTGCCTGCTTAGGTCACAAAGACAGCCCATGAACACCTCTGAGAAGCTTTCGGGCAAAGCCAGAGAGCCTGGGGAAATCCTCGAAGACCTCCCTGGCTTTGCCTCCTTCTCCACAGCAGGGACGGTGGAGCATTTGGGAAACATCGTGATAATTGTGAAGGGCAGGCTGTCCCTGGACGCCAGCACTGTGCAGGCGCGGCCACGAAGGACGGAGAAGAGTCGCTTCCAAGGTGGGTGGGAGAAGGAATTCAGATAACCCCCATTCCTCAGAGGCCAATTCTCACTACATTCTTTCCCCTTGGTTTCCGTCTCCTCCCACATTCCTCAGCCCATCCTCTATTTCTGCCTTTTTCTCTTTCCCCCAGCTTTACTCTCTTTGAGGGGCCACACCACTTGCACCTTGGACAGCGGAGATGTGGAGCCAGTACAGGAGAGTCTGATACCTTTGCTCTCCAAGAAAATCATTGCAGGCGTTCAGCGCCTCCCCCCGCACCACCCCAACTAGCAGTCATCAGGGTCGGGCCCCTGGCACGGCCCTTCCCCTTCCGCAGGTCTCACCAGTACTCCTCCAAAAAGGGCCTCATGTCCTGGAACAGCTCAAAGTTGTAGGGCTGTAACACCTGCCCTGTTTCCTCTGACACATTCATGGCTGTGACCATTTCGTTCTGCAGACGTCGAGGTCGAGAGCTTCGGGAGCCGGGAAAGAGGTTAGAGGGCCAAGGATACAGCGAACCTTGGGGCGGGACGGAACGAGCCAAGGATCAAGGAACTCCGCGGGAAACGGAGGAGCGTCGGATTCAGGCCGGCCGCGGCAGCTCAGCCCGCTTCCTCCGCGGCCGCCACTGGGTATACAAGGCGGAATTGCAAAGCGGCGGAGCCAGGCGGCGCGACGCCCCCTCCCTGCGCCCGGCGGGTATCCAATCTCGACCAAGACACGCCCCTGTCCCGCCCCTGGGCAGCAGCCCGCTCTCGGATTGCTCGCCCTCAAGGGAGCCTCCCCTAGGCGCCTCGCAGGCCCCATCCCAAATACCGGTCGTAGGCCCTCGCCGCGCCCACTTTCCCATCCTTTTCGCTCCGAGCGCCTGCGCTCCCACCTGCTGGTTGGTTTAGCCCTTTTGGCCTTGCCACGTACCGGGACAGGCCCGTCTTCTTCTGGCCCTGCCAACTATAGCGTTTACTTCGGTTTGCATTAATCCCGACCTGAGGCAAGAGTAGAGGTGTCCTCAACCTCTGGTGCCCCATCCAGAAATTGGGATGTCAGTTTCCCGCCTCCCTGAGACCCTAGGAAACCCAGGTCTGGAATGCGGATGAATCAGGCCCGGGAAGGGGCAGCAAAGAGCCTCTGTCGTAATTCCATCTGCCTCCTTCACGTTTGGTTGTGGGTGGGAGGGAGATGAATTTTAACAAATTTTATTGTTAGGGTTGTTGACGTTGATGTTTGGGGAGATGGTTGTTTAGGTTGTGGTTTCTTTACGGTTTTCCGAATTCCTGAACTGCTCCAGCCTGATACCTCATAATTAGCTTGGGGAGGAAATGGGCTCACCCTCTGGGCTTCTGGGATTACTGCCTTCAGGTTCCCTGGAGGCCTCCTGGGGTATGAGTGCCCTGCTTTTGTCTCCCCCAGGCTGTACTTGTCTAATCAAATCTACTTTTTCCTTGTCTGTGTACCCAGCCCCAAAGAAACAAATATTTTTTTCTATTTTATTTTTTTATTGAGGTTATGATAGTTTACAAGCCTGTGAAATTCCAGTTGTGCATTATTATTTGTCAGTCATATTGTAGGTGTGCCACTTCACCCTTTGTGCCCACCCCCCAACCCTCCTTCCCCCTGGTAACCACTAATCTGTTCTCTTTGTCCATGTGTTTGTTTATCTTCCACATGTGAGAAAGATGAGAGGTTGTCTTTCTCTATCTAGCTTATTTCGCCTAACGTAATACCCTCAAGTCCATCCATGTTGCTGTGAATGGGACGATTTTATCCTGTTTATGGCTGAGTAGTATTCTATTGTATATATATACCCCATATCTTCTTTTTTTTTTAAAGATTTTTATTTTTTTTTCCTTTTTCTCCCCAGATCTCCCCAGTACATAGTTGTACATTCTTCGTTGTGGGTTCTCCTAGTTGTGGCATGTGGACGCTGCCTCAGCGTGGTTTGACGATCAGTGCCATGTCCGCGCCCAGGATTCGAACCAATGAAACACTGGGCCGCCTGCAGCGGAGCGCCCGAACTTAACCACTCAGCCACCGGGCCAGCCCCACCCCATATCTTCTTGATCCAGTCATCAGTCAATGGGCACTTAGGTCGCTTCCATGTCTTAGCTATTGTGAAAAATGCTACGAAACAAACTTTTTAAAACTTTTAAGGCCTTACTTGTCTGTCGTTTATTCCTCTCCTAGGCTTTATGAAAGTGAGGGAGAAATACAAAGCTTGAAGGCAGTTTGAGATAACATGGAGATTTGCAAAACAAGTGCTAAGAGGAATACATATAAAATATTTAAAATGAAGATGTGGCTATTAATGGCTATGTGCAGCAAAGCCCACAGGCTCTGGAGCCAGAGGACCCAGGTGAGGATCCCAGCTTCACTTCCGTGAACCTCAGTCCTTGTCCAGGGAAGGGTGGAGTGGACAGTCTTGTCCGTGCTATCTAAATGACTCTCAAGGGCATCCCTTTGTCTCTGTATTGCCTCACCTCTCACCGGGTTACCACAGCCACTCTGTTAGTCATGGTAATTGGTTGCACCACCTCCTTCTCTAATAGGGTGCTAGAATCAGAAAACAATTCTTTCCAAAGCTGGCTGATCATAAGATTCCTGAGCCCCAACCCCAGAGATTTTAACCCAGGAGGTGGCCCCAGACCATACTTTGAAAACCACCACTTTCTGTCCTCTAATCCAGAAGAGCGCTCTAAAACTTAAAGTGGATCATGCTGCTTTCCTTCTTAAAACCCTTCAGTGGCTCTTGATTGCTCCATTCATAGCCTGACTCAGAAGGCGATCAGCACATGTTTGGTGGATGGATGAATAAATGAAAGAACGAATATTATAAGAAAAATAACCGTCTAGGTGTTACAAGACCTGGATTCAAATCCCAGCTCCACCATTAAGCAGTCATGTGATTTCAGGCAAGTTACCTGATGTCTCTGAGACTCCCAGTCTTCATGAGTAGAATGTAGATAGTCGTACTTGCCTGCCTACCTCACGAGGTTGGCGTCAGTATGAAAGTCAGATAGTGTCAATGAAAGTTTACAATGGTATTGTAAAGTAGACACATGGAAATGTTAGGGTGAATCACTTTGGGAGGTTTACAGATGCATACAGAATATGTATACTCAGTCCTTGTTTTCTCTTAAATGAAGATATTTTACACTGTCTTTCCCTGTGAAGTTTAATGGTGAGGCTTGGGGAAGGGTGGTGTTGGAAAAGGGGAAGGAGAAGAGAAATCTCTAGAAATTACTTCCTAGGGGAAACCTTCCCTGACCCTTGGACTTGGTCTGGTACCATATTATATAAGAATTGCTCTCGTAGCGTGCTAGTTCCTTCTTTCAATGAGAGTTTACCATTACTCTGTTATTTTTATTATTTCTTGATGAGTGCCTATTTCCCCTACTAGTCCTTGAGCTCCATAAAGGCAGACACTATATCTATTTTGCTCAACGTCATTCTCGTAACACTGAGCTTATGGTAGGTCATCAGGTAATATCTGTTGCATGAATTATTGAATGGATGAAATCCTCAGCCTACAAATCTGGACGACACTCTTTGTTTCTCCAGGACACAGCAAGCTTGTCCGGTCTTTTTATCTCTGGATCTCACCTTTCTCCTCTGTAAAATGGGGACAGTATCCACCTCAGAAAGATGTTTATGAGGATCGAATGAAATCATATATATTAAAGAGCATTATACGATGTAAAGGATTGAGCAAACATCAGTAATTATTACCAGAAAAAGTGAATTTGTAGAAATTTCAACTTCTTTTTTAATGAAACTCAATTAAATTAAAATAAAGGAAAGTCATGATCTGGTGATTGGTTGCACCATAGTGTGAATGTACTTAACAATACTGAATTGAACACATAAAAATGGTTAAGATGGTAGATTTTATGTTATGTATATTTTACCATAATTTAAAAATTTTTAAAAGGACAGCCATGAAATGGGAATATAGTTTTATGTGGGACAGATAAAGAGTTAATGTGCATACTACACAAAAAGTTTATCCTTAGTCCTATCTCTGACCCTTGATAAGTGGCTAATGACACAGATAGGCTCATCTTATAGACTCCAGTGTCCCCAAATCTACCTCTGATTAGCTGCCAGAAAGGTGTTTCTAAAACACACATTAGCTCATGTCATTCCTTTTTAAAAACAAAAAAATCTTCCGGACAAAGGTCAAATTCCTGAGGTTAGTCCTGGCCCTTCCTTTCCAGCCAATGTCCCATCATCCCTCAGCCCCAGCATTCTACATTTTAGCTGTAATGGAAGAGTCACAACTCCGTAACACAAGTACTATATTTTTAGGGTTTTCAACTCCCTTATCTCTCTCTATATTGTTCCCTCTCCCCAGACATCTTTTTCTCACCCGGACAAATGTTAGTCATTGTTTGCTCCTAGCTCTAAAGTCACTTGCCCTGCCAAAGCCTAATCTGTTTCAGACAGGGACAACCCTTTTCTTCTTTGTCTTCCACCCACAGGACTTGACCCAAACTGCCTGCCAGTATTGTGTTTCTACCAGTGGAGTAAGACTAGTCATATATTTTCTTTACCATCCTGGCTCCACCACCTAGTCCCAAATGGTCATTTTTGTTAGGTCACTAATCCTTGAGGGAAGCACACAGCACTCAAAATATGTCTGTTGCTTTGACTCGAATAGGCACCTAAGAGGAAATATAAATAAACATATGTATATATATATAAGACTCAACGCCCTTAGTAATTAGGGAAATGCAAATTAATGACTGTATATATACTATGGTCCCCATTAACAACCATTAAACTGAGTAGAAATTAAATACCCAATGCTGGTCAAAGCTTTGGGAAACAGACACGTTCACACTTGGCTAGTAGACAGGTAAGCTGACATGATCCTTTCAAGAAGCATACTTAGGTAACACTTCGCAAGAGCCAGCTGGTATAGTTTGACTCAGTCCCTCACCTAGGAGTTTCAAAGCCAGTGAAATAAGCCAAAAGAAAAAAATTCTATAAGTAGTGAAATACTTATATCCGTGGGACTTAAAATAATAGAGACAATAGAAAGAATAAACAAGTGGGACTTCATCAGACTAAAGAACTTCTTCAAGGCAAGAGAAAACAGGGCTGGAACAAAAAAAAACAACCCACTAATTGGGAAAAAATATTTGCAAGTCATATATCTGACAAAAGGTAAATCTCCATATATATAAAGAAATCACAGAACTCAACAAAAAAGATCAAACAACCCGATCAAAAAATGGGCAGGAGACGTGAACAGACATTTCTCCAAAGAAGATATACGGATGGCCAATAGGCACATGAAAAGATTTCATCATCACTAATCATCAGGGAAATGCAAATCAAAACTACACCAAGATATCACCTTACACCCATTAGAATGGCAAAAATAACCAAAACAAAAAGTAACAAATGTTGGAGAGGTTGTGGAGGAAAAGGAACCCTCATACACTGCTGGTGGGAATGCAAACTGATGCAGCCACCATGGAAAACAGTGTGGAGATTCCTCAAAAAATTAAAAATAGAAATACCATATGACCCAGCCATCCCTCTACTGGCTATCTATCCAAAGAACTTGAAGTCAGCAATTCCAAAAGCCCATGCACCCCAATGCTCATTGCAGCATTATTTACAATAGCCAAGATGTGGAAGCAACCTAAGTGCCCATCAACAGATGATTGGATAAAAAAGATGTGGTATATATACACAATGGAATACTACTCAGCCGTAAAAAGAAAAAAATCATCCCATTCACAACATGGATGGACCTTGAGGGAATTATGTTAAGTGAAATAAGCCAGATGGAGAAAGACAATCTCTGCATGACTCCACTCATATGTGTAAATTAAACATGTAGACAAAGAGAACAGATTAGTGGTCACCGGGGAAATGGAGGGTGGGAGGTGGGCACAAAGGGTGAAGTGGTACACCTACAACACGACAGACAAACCGATAATGTACAACTGAAATTTCACAAGGTTGTAAACTATCACAATCTCAATAAAAATTTTAAAAATTAAAAGATTAAAAAAAAATAATAGAGAACTGGAAACATCCCACTAATGGATGATTAAATAGTTAAATTCTAACATTATGAAACCCCTTGCAGCTACCAGAACATGGAGAAACATGAAACCGTGTTTGCAAAGTAATGTAAAAGAACAACAGTGTTTAAAACTGTATCTACCGGGGCCTGTCCGGCGGCGCAGCAGTTAAGTTCGCACGTTCCGCTTCGGCGGCCTGGGGTTCACTGGTTTGGATCCCGGGTGCGGACATGGCACCGCTTGGCACGCCATGCTGTGGTAGGTGTCCCACATATAAAAAAAAGTCGAGGAAGATGGGCACAGATGTTAGCTCAGGGCCAGGCTTCCTCAGCAAAAAGAGGAGGACTGGCAGCAGTTAGCTCAGGGCTAATCTTCCTCAAAAAAAAAAAAAAAAAAAAAAAAAAAAAAGGGAAATGCTCAGGATATAATGTTAAGTAAAAAAAGTGTAGGATATGAGTCTATGCATAGTATGGTCTCAAATTCATGGAATGAAAATGTGGAAGAAATGTAGATGGAAAGAATATTGTAAACTTTTTATAGAGAAAAAATAGGGAAGAAATCTATGTTGAGAACAAATATCAGAAGAAAATGCACCAAAATGCTAATAGAGTTTGTCAGGATGGTGTAATAATGGGTGATTTAAAAATTATTTTTATAATCAGTAAGTGTTCAAAACTAATAATAAATGTGTTGAAATTTGTTGGATTTAAGTCTTTCTTTTCCATGTGTTCTGACACTGATTGCTTTCTCTGCTTCTACCTTCCCGCCTTAAGATCCTGCATGTCCCTGTCAGAGTCATCTCCTTTCCCCAGTATTTTTATTGCTTGGTTTTGCTTTTGTATTTCTGCTGGTTCTTCCCATACTTCCCACCTCTTTAATGCTCTTGTTTCTTAGACTCCCGTCCCTGTCCCTTACTCCTTCTCACTCTGTACTCTCTTTCCTGGTTAATTGCCTTTCATGACCTTACCTGTTACTTCTATTTGGATGACTCCAAATTACGTATCTTCTGTCTTGATCTCTCTTCTCTATTCTTGCTCACACCTCACACTTCCCATTGGACTTCTCCACCCAGCTGACTTGAGTTACAGACAGCTCACACTGAGGTGCAGAAACTCAGCTCACCTTCTACCCAGACCTGTTCTTTTTTGCTGACCTCTCTATTTCTATTGAAGCCACGACCAGGCTCCTAGGCTCCTAGGCAGGACTGGTTAGATAATTTGTGGGGGCTAGTGTAAAACAAAAATGTAAGGCCCTCTGTTAAAAAATTAAGAATTTCAAGATGGCGACAGCAGAACATCAAACCAAGTGCAGGGCGCTTCCAAGTATGTGGGCCTGTGTGGCCGCACAGGTTGCACACCCGTGAAGTGGGCCCTGCTCCTAGGTTTAAATCTGGGGGTCTCCTTTGACTCCTCTCTCTCCTTTAATCTGGTTTGGCTGACAGGGTAGATGGTGCATCCACTTGCAAAGGTGGGAAATAAAGGAAGAGGAATACATTTGAACGGTGGTTTGAGAATGGAGATGACTTTAGTTTGGGCCCTACAACTGCAAGGTGCCAGTGGAACACTGAAGTCAGAGGATCCAATAACCAGTTGTCTAGAACTCAGGCTGTCAGTCTGGCTTCAACATTCAGGGTAGAGGATGTCACTGAACTTCTGGCTGTGGAAGAAACTGTGCAGAGAGAGAAGTCAAGCAGGGCTTTGCAAAGTGGAGTCCATGGACCACTGACACTGCAACGTCCAGCTTGTTAAAAATGAAGTCTCTTGGGGCTGGCCGGGTGGTACAGCGGTTGAGTTTGCGTGTTCCGCTTCAGCAGCCCAGGGTTTGCTGGTTCGGATCCCGGGTGCGGACACGGCACCACTTGGCAAGCCATGCTGTGGTAGGCGTCCTACATATAAAGTAGAGGAAGATGGGCACGGATGTTAGCTCAGGGCCAGTCTTCCTCAGCAAAAAGAGGGGGATTGGCAGCAGATGTTAGCTCAGGGCTAATCTTCCTCAAAAAAACAAAAAAAGAAAAAGAAAAAGAAAAAGCACTAGCTTAGGAGTCTCCCAGACATGCTTCAGATCCCAGTTCCACTACTTACAAGCTCTGTGACCTTAATTGTTACTTCCAGACACAGTTTCCTCACCTGAAAAAGGGTGATAATGCTTAAGACTAACGTATTCTTGTGAAGGGAGAGATGATGAAGTGAATGTACAAGGGAGTACTCACAAATGAGAGCAGTGACTATCCTTGTGGGAGAAATATCAGGCCTGGTCTAAAATTAAATCTGTCCCACTGGACAGTGAATAACAGAGGTTCCGGCTGCATCTCAGGTGTGATTGGCCAAGGGGCATGTATGAGTTTATGGGGATATTGGGCATTCATGTGAGAGGGAATTAAAGTTTTGAAGATGTGCGATAGTAGTAGTCTTCATTAATTCAATCACTATCACCACCAACTGCGCATCAAGCACAGTTCTAGGCGCCCAGCAGTGAAGAGAACTAAGTCTAGCATGTATACCCGTACATAAGACCTCTGAGTGTACACCTTTTTGCCCTTGGGCTGCTGTTGCCCCCTTCTATCCCAGGGCACCCCGCACACAGGTAGCTTTACGTCCGTGGCTGAGAAAGGGCACAGTGAACTTGTGGGGAAACACTCTTGGGAACTGGATAAGCCAGAGATTTTAGTCCCATTAACCTGTTGTGTCTTCTCTTCCCTCCAGAGTCCTCCCTCCATGGAGTTTGGCCTGCTCAGCGAGGCGGAGGCCCGCAGCCCGGCCCTCTCGCTGTCGGATGCCGGCACTCCCCACCCCGCCCTCCCAGAACACGGCTGCAAGGGCCAAGAGCACAGCGGTGAGCGCGCCCCCTTCTGGGCGGGGGGAGATAACAGCTCAATCCTTGCTCAGGGTGGGACCCGGGAGCGGAAGCCCGGGTGCGAGCGAGCGGGCGGTGGAGGAGGTCCCCCAGCCAGAGAATCCGCGCAGGCCTGGGCGCCCTGTGACCTGGCCCGCACCCGGCCCCCAGACTCGGAGAAGGCTTCGGCTTCGCTGCCCGGCGGCTCCCCGGAAGACGGCTCGCTGAAGAAGAAACAGCGGCGGCAACGCACGCACTTCACCAGCCAGCAGCTGCAGGAGCTGGAGGCGACCTTCCAGAGGAACCGCTACCCAGACATGAGTACGCGCGAAGAGATCGCCGTGTGGACCAACCTCACCGAGGCCCGCGTGCGGGTACAGCCGTCCCAGACCTGCAACCCTCCCCTCCCCCGAGCCTCCCTCTCGCGCGCCGCCCAGCGACTAGCTCCGGAACCAGCGGCCTGTGGTTCTGCTCTGCCTGCCCCATCCCCGGACCCAACACCCCACGCCCCGGGCCCCGGTCCACTGCCGCACACGCCCTTCTTTCCACCAACCTCCGAGCGCTGCTCTTGCTCCACGCTCTCACTCCAGGCCGTGCGTTTCTTCTACCCTGACGCTGTCTCTTGTTCTCCTCTTCACCCTTCCTTGACCCCATCCTGCTAGTCCCCTCCCCAGACCGCGTCGCCCCGGACTCAGCCCTGCCGCCCACTGCTTCTGTTCTCAGCTCCCTGACTCCGTGCACTCCTCGGGCTTCTCCACGACGCTCATTCCCGTCTCCAGCCACCACATCTGGTTGATCCTCAGGACGGCGCCGGCTTGAAGCCCCGTCTGGGCGACCCACCCACCGGCCGCGCTGCCCCGGTCCGGGTCCCCCGCTCGGCTCCGGGCCCTGACGGCCTTTCTCCCATGCCCGCAGGTGTGGTTCAAGAACCGGCGCGCCAAGTGGCGAAAGCGCGAGCGCAGCCAGCAGGCGGAGCTGTGCAAGGGCGGCTTCGCGGCGCCGCTCGGGGGGCTGGTGCCGCCCTACGAGGAGGTGTACCCCGGCTACTCGTACGGGAACTGGCCGCCCAAGGCGCTCGGCCCGCCGCTCGCAGCCAAGACCTTCCCGTTCGCCTTCAACTCGGTCAACGTGGGGCCTCTGGCTTCGCAGCCCGTCTTCTCGCCACCCAGCTCCATCGCCGCCTCCATGGTGCCGTCGGCTGCGGCCGCCCCGGGCACCGTGCCAGGTCCCGGGGCCCTGCAGGGCCTGGGCGGGGGGCCCCCCGGGCTGGCTCCGGCGGCAGTGTCCTCTGGGGCAGTGTCCTGCCCTTACGCCTCGGCCGCGGCAGCCGCAGCTGCAGCCGCCTCCTCCCCCTACGTATATCGGGACCCGTGTAACTCGAGTCTGGCCAGCCTGAGGCTCAAGGCCAAACAGCACGCCTCTTTCAGCTACCCCGCCGTGCCCGGGCCGCCCCCGGCCGCCAACCTCAGTCCGTGCCAGTACGCCGTAGAACGGCCTGTATGAGCTGCCCGGCCCGTGGATCCTCCTCGAGGGCGGGGCTAATAATTCACAGCCTCCCCGGCCTGGGGTCGTCTTGAGTGGCTTGCCCTCGCTCCGGGGTCTGAGAGGGGCGCTTGGCGCAGCTGGAGAGGGCGGCCGGCTCAGGAGAGAGCCTTCCCCCTCCCAGCCCTGAGGGGTGGACTGGGCCCTACACACGCTCCGCGCCCCTGGGACTAAGGCCAGGAACAGGGACCACTTCCCCGGGGGCCAACTCACCCTTGGCCCACCCCGCCTTCTCCAGACTCTCCCTCCCCCGTTTTCAAAGATGACTGAAATAAACGTGCGCGGACTGTCAAAGGCCTGATGATTCAGAGTTGCGGTTGAGCTCACCGCCGGCCCCCACCCCCCCCCACGCCTCCCCCCCTCCCCACGGCTCCCCCCCACCCCACCCCACGCCCCATGTCTAAAGGAGAGCTGGGTGTACAGGAAAGAGGTGAAGGCCCAGGCTTCTAGGGCTTCAGTCCCTCTCAGTCGCTAACATCAGGATGGGGAAGCCTGGGGATTCCTGGAGCAGAGGGGCGCACGCGTGCGTGTATGTATGCATGGCTTGAGGATTAGCTACTCGGCCGGCGTTGGCCAAAGCTGGTGCTGCGGCGCCACCTCGTGGCCTCATGGAGAATAACTGGAAGGTCAGCTCTCGAACGCTTACTTGCAGGTGTCAATTCTGCAACCTAAGAAGCCTACGACATTAGATAAGTTACTCTGCCTTTCTGCACCTGTTTCTCACTGTTCCTGTGAGGGACTTGGGTCTCTAACAGCAATAAAATTCTGGTTTGTAACGGACATTTATTAAGCGCCTACCAGGCCTAGGATTTTTATTGAGTGTTTGTGTGTGTGCCTCTCATCCTTCCACACACCCTCCTAGGCATCTCACCCACTACTCATCCCACTGCCAGCACCCCTCTCCCATCGCAGCAGTCCCCTTCTTCCCTCAAATCCAAAAACTCCAAAACCCTCGTTGAAATGTTTAATTAAAAAAATAGGGCAAGAGGAAGAAAGATTTATGGATAGAAATATAAATAACTCAGCTCTGGGGATCTTCCTCAGTCTCATTCCCATCCTAGGGCCTGCCTGGCCTTCACATTAGACACAGAAATATCAAAGTACTAGATCACACCCTCATCCCAGGGGTGATGCTTCTTGTCTGTCATAACTTCCTACCACCGTGGGGCACACATCCCATGGGGAAACCATGAAGGGAAGGCGTCCTAACCATTCTCCCAAACCTAAGCTGAGCCCCTCGGTGCCCTGGGGAAGAGAGAGCCTGGGGATCCTTCTTTTTATCCAACCCTTCATTGGCTCTTGGTCTTGGCTTTGACCTTGGGCATTAGGTAGGTTTGATGGAAGAAGCGGGCAAAGAGGATGAAATAGGTCATATACAAGACGCAGGACCAGAAGAGCTGTTTCGATGTGCTGTGGCATCCCGGATCCTGTCTCCAGATGTGATTCAGGATGCTAACAAAGGCTCCCATAAACATCTGCAGGATCTGCAGGCTGGTGATGAGCATGGGCAACCACCTGGGAGCTGTTACTTTGGCAGCCTTCAGAGTGTAGTAGGTGTACATGATGGCGTGCACACCGTAGTTCATGGTCATGAACCAGGCGCCTGAAGACACTTTGTCCTTGTATCCATAGCTCGTGTACAGCAGCACTGTGCTGTGGTGGTACCAGTGCACAAAGCTGAGTGGCCGCTTACGCAGGATGATGAAGGCCGTGTCTCCTGGGAAACAGGGAGTCACAGCTGGCATACCACCCAGTGTTGGGACCACCGTCGGCATTGGATTTGGGGGCATGGGGGAAATTCTCAGGACGGGGAGAGGCGTCTTTATGTCAGAGTTTGAACAGGGGCTTGGGTGAGAGGTGTTGTTAGGACCCAGGGGTGGGGAAGGGACTCTCCATGTGATGGGTGAGGGGTCCCTGAGGAGGGATGCAGTTGACTGGGCACCTGAGAAACAAAGCCTTGCCACTCACCAAGTTCAATGATCTTGCTGAAAAGAAAGAGGCAGGACCAGCATCTGACTACGGGATCTTGGATGTGGCTGGAGAAGCACACAGTTTGACCTAGGTTCCCCCTGAGTAGCAGGATCCCCATATGGCTCCATGTCCTCACTGCCCCCAGGATGCTGATATGGGACAGAGGAAAAAGGTGTAAGGGTCATCCCCAGATACCAATCCCCCCTCCCCCCTCAGCCTGGTCAGGTCACTGGCCCAAGCTCCGCCACCTCTCCACCCTTCCAGGGGAGATGGGTCACAGCTTCTGAGATCCTGAGCCCAATCTCGTAGATCCAACCAGTAATGGAGAGGAGAGGAGGGCTGGGAAAGGACCAGGGAATGCTGGAGGACAGGACTGAAAGGTGAGTTAGGAAATAGGGTTCTTGGGATGGGTAGGAGCATGGCGGGGGGCGGGGGGGGGAAGGATGAGGGAGATCGAAGTAGTTTGGGGGAGGAAATTTGGGAAGGAGGGGCTGGGGAAGTTATTGGAAGGTCTTAGGAGAGGCTGTTAGATGCTGAGAGTATTAGAGGCTGGAGAAATTTGTTGGAAGTCCACAGACTTCATGAGCACGAGAGAGCAGAGACTGCCAGCTTGGAGCCTGGGGAAGAAGGAAAACAGGGTAACATGGGAGAAGGGTGGAAGCTGGGGAGGGGAGCTAGAGCTGAGAGGATGGGATAGGGAGTGAGTTAGGGGGCAGCTTGGAGAGCTGATGCAACTGAGGTTTCTAGAAAGCTTTTAGGGATAAAATGAGGGTCTCTAGCCTACAGGATAGGCGGGAAGTCGGGGGAGGAGTGTCTTACCTGAAGACTGCAAGGCAGAAGGACCAAAGGATGAGAGGCCCCCGCAGGCTGAAGCCCTTCCGTGCCTTCATGTAGTTCTGCCCCACAAAGATGAGCAGCAGGTAGATCAGAACTACGAGGAATGAGGCTGCCCTGGCAGGCAGAAGGCAGAGGGGATGGGCCCATGGGTGGGTGCTGGTTAGAGGAATCCCCACTCAACTCTCCAGGTGAGTGCTCTCGGTTGGAGTCCCACTCTACCATTTACTAGCAGTGTGACACTGGAAAACCTACTTAGTTCTCTGAGCCTCAGTTTCCTTATCTGTAAAGGGGGAATAAGACTCCTCTCCTGACACCGTTAATATTTATAAAATACCTAGCACAGGCCAGGGACTACATCCAAGGTTTCTATGCTTATTGCTCTCTCAGTGGGGTTGGGAGTGGGTGACTTGGCTGCTGGCCCAGCCTAGAAGCAACCCACGCCCCGTGGGGTAAGAAGAATGTGGCAAAAGCTCTGCCTGCTTAGGTCACAAAGACAGCCCATGAACACCTCTGAGAAGCTTTCGGGCAAAGCCAGAGAGCCTGGGGAAATCCTCGAAGACCTCCCTGGCTTTGCCTCCTTCTCCACAGCAGGGACGGTGGAGCATTTGGGAAACATCGTGATAATTGTGAAGGGCAGGCTGTCCCTGGACGCCAGCACTGTGCAGGCGCGGCCACGAAGGACGGAGAAGAGTCGCTTCCAAGGTGGGTGGGAGAAGGAATTCAGATAACCCCCATTCCTCAGAGGCCAATTCTCACTACATTCTTTCCCCTTGGTTTCCGTCTCCTCCCACATTCCTCAGCCCATCCTCTATTTCTGCCTTTTTCTCTTTCCCCCAGCTTTACTCTCTTTGAGGGGCCACACCACTTGCACCTTGGACAGCGGAGATGTGGAGCCAGTACAGGAGAGTCTGATACCTTTGCTCTCCAAGAAAATCATTGCAGGCGTTCAGCGCCTCCCCCGCACCACCCCAACTAGCAGTCATCAGGGTCGGGCCCCTGGCACGGCCCTTCCCCTTCCGCAGGTCTCACCAGTACTCCTCCAAAAAGGGCCTCATGTCCTGGAACAGCTCAAAGTTGTAGGGCTGTAACACCTGCCCTGTTTCCTCTGACACATTCATGGCTGTGACCATTTCGTTCTGCAGACGTCGAGGTCGAGAGCTTCGGGAGCCGGGAAAGAGGTTAGAGGGCCAAGGATACAGCGAACCTTGGGGCGGGACGGAACGAGCCAAGGATCAAGGAACTCCGCGGGAAACGGAGGAGCGTCGGATTCAGGCCGGCCGCGGCAGCTCAGCCCGCTTCCTCCGCGGCCGCCACTGGGGTATACAAGGCGGAATTGCAAAGCGGCGGAGCCAGGCGGCGCGACGCCCCCTCCCTGCGCCCGGCGGGTATCCAATCTCGACCAAGACACGCCCCTGTCCCGCCCCTGGGCAGCAGCCCGCTCTCGGATTGCTCGCCCTCAAGGGAGCCTCCCCTAGGCGCCTCGCAGGCCCCATCCCAAATACCGGTCGTAGGCCCTCGCCGCGCCCACTTTCCCATCCTTTTCGCTCCGAGCGCCTGCGCTCCCACCTGCTGGTTGGTTTAGCCCTTTTGGCCTTGCCACGTACCGGGACAGGCCCGTCTTCTTCTGGCCCTGCCAACTATAGCGTTTACTTCGGTTTGCATTAATCCCGACCTGAGGCAAGAGTAGAGGTGTCCTCAACCTCTGGTGCCCCCATCCAGAAATTGGGATGTCAGTTTCCCGCCTCCCTGAGACCCTAGGAAACCCAGGTCTGGAATGCGGATGAATCAGGCCCGGGAAGGGGCAGCAAAGAGCCTCTGTCGTAATTCCATCTGCCTCCTTCACGTTTGGTTGTGGGTGGGAGGGAGATGAATTTTAACAAATTTTATTGTTAGGGTTGTTGACGTTGATGTTTGGGGAGATGGTTGTTTAGGTTGTGGTTTCTTTACGGTTTTCCGAATTCCTGAACTGCTCCAGCCTGATACCTCATAATTAGCTTGGGGAGGAAATGGGCTCACCCTCTGGGCTTCTGGGATTACTGCCTTCAGGTTCCCTGGAGGCCTCCTGGGGTATGAGTGCCCTGCTTTTGTCTCCCCCAGGCTGTACTTGTCTAATCAAATCTACTTTTTCCTTGTCTGTGTACCCAGCCCCAAAGAAACAAATATTTTTTTCTATTTTATTTTTTTATTGAGGTTATGATAGTTTACAAGCCTGTGAAATTCCAGTTGTGCATTATTATTTGTCAGTCATATTGTAGGTGTGCCACTTCACCCTTTGTGCCCACCCCCCAACCCTCCTTCCCCTGGTAACCACTAATCTGTTCTCTTTGTCCATGTGTTTGTTTATCTTCCACATGTGAGAAAGATGAGAGGTTGTCTTTCTCTATCTAGCTTATTTCGCCTAACGTAATACCCTCAAGTCCATCCATGTTGCTGTGAATGGGACGATTTTATCCTGTTTATGGCTGAGTAGTATTCTATTGTATATATATACCCCATATCTTCTTTTTTTTTAAAGATTTTTATTTTTTTTTCCTTTTTCTCCCCAGATCTCCCCAGTACATAGTTGTACATTCTTCGTTGTGGGTTCTCCTAGTTGTGGCATGTGGACGCTGCCTCAGCGTGGTTTGACGATCAGTGCCATGTCCGCGCCCAGGATTCGAACCAATGAAACACTGGGCCGCCTGCAGCGGAGCGCCCGAACTTAACCACTCAGCCACCGGGCCAGCCCCACCCCATATCTTCTTGATCCAGTCATCAGTCAATGGGCACTTAGGTCGCTTCCATGTCTTAGCTATTGTGAAAAATGCTACGAAACAAACTTTTTAAAACTTTTAAGGCCTTACTTGTCTGTCGTTTATTCCTCTCCTAGGCTTTATGAAAGTGAGGGAGAAATACAAAGCTTGAAGGCAGTTTGAGATAACATGGAGATTTGCAAAACAAGTGCTAAGAGGAATACATATAAAATATTTAAAATGAAGATGTGGCTATTAATGGCTATGTGCAGCAAAGCCCACAGGCTCTGGAGCCAGAGGACCCAGGTGAGGATCCCAGCTTCACTTCCGTGAACCTCAGTCCTTGTCCAGGGAAGGGTGGAGTGGACAGTCTTGTCCGTGCTATCTAAATGACTCTCAAGGGCATCCCTTTGTCTCTGTATTGCCTCACCTCTCACCGGGTTACCACAGCCACTCTGTTAGTCATGGTAATTGGTTGCACCACCTCCTTCTCTAATAGGGTGCTAGAATCAGAAAACAATTCTTTCCAAAGCTGGCTGATCATAAGATTCCTGAGCCCCAACCCCAGAGATTTTAACCCAGGAGGTGGCCCCAGACCATACTTTGAAAACCACCACTTTCTGTCCTCTAATCCAGAAGAGCGCTCTAAAACTTAAAGTGGATCATGCTGCTTTCCTTCTTAAAACCCTTCAGTGGCTCTTGATTGCTCCATTCATAGCCTGACTCAGAAGGCGATCAGCACATGTTTGGTGGATGGATGAATAAATGAAAGAACGAATATTATAAGAAAAATAACCGTCTAGGTGTTACAAGACCTGGATTCAAATCCCAGCTCCACCATTAAGCAGTCATGTGATTTCAGGCAAGTTACCTGATGTCTCTGAGACTCCCAGTCTTCATGAGTAGAATGTAGATAGTCGTACTTGCCTGCCTACCTCACGAGGTTGGCGTCAGTATGAAAGTCAGATAGTGTCAATGAAAGTTTACAATGGTATTGTAAAGTAGACACATGGAAATGTTAGGGTGAATCACTTTGGGAGGTTTACAGATGCATACAGAATATGTATACTCAGTCCTTGTTTTCTCTTAAATGAAGATATTTTACACTGTCTTTCCCTGTGAAGTTTAATGGTGAGGCTTGGGGAAGGGTGGTGTTGGAAAAGGGGAAGGAGAAGAGAAATCTCTAGAAATTACTTCCTAGGGGAAACCTTCCCTGACCCTTGGACTTGGTCTGGTACCATATTATATAAGAATTGCTCTCGTAGCGTGCTAGTTCCTTCTTTCAATGAGAGTTTACCATTACTCTGTTATTTTTATTATTTCTTGATGAGTGCCTATTTCCCCTACTAGTCCTTGAGCTCCATAAAGGCAGACACTATATCTATTTTGCTCAACGTCATTCTCGTAACACTGAGCTTATGGTAGGTCATCAGGTAATATCTGTTGCATGAATTATTGAATGGATGAAATCCTCAGCCTACAAATCTGGACGACACTCTTTGTTTCTCCAGGACACAGCAAGCTTGTCCGGTCTTTTTATCTCTGGATCTCACCTTTCTCCTCTGTAAAATGGGGACAGTATCCACCTCAGAAAGATGTTTATGAGGATCGAATGAAATCATATATATTAAAGAGCATTATACGATGTAAAGGATTGAGCAAACATCAGTAATTATTACCAGAAAAAGTGAATTTGTAGAAATTTCAACTTCTTTTTTAATGAAACTCAATTAAATTAAAATAAAGGAAAGTCATGATCTGGTGATTGGTTGCACCATAGTGTGAATGTACTTAACAATACTGAATTGAACACATAAAAATGGTTAAGATGGTAGATTTTATGTTATGTATATTTTACCATAATTTAAAAATTTTTAAAAGGACAGCCATGAAATGGGAATATAGTTTTATGTGGGACAGATAAAGAGTTAATGTGCATACTACACAAAAAGTTTATCCTTAGTCCTATCTCTGACCCTTGATAAGTGGCTAATGACACAGATAGGCTCATCTTATAGACTCCAGTGTCCCCAAATCTACCTCTGATTAGCTGCCAGAAAGGTGTTTCTAAAACACACATTAGCTCATGTCATTCCTTTTTAAAAACAAAAAAATCTTCCGGACAAAGGTCAAATTCCTGAGGTTAGTCCTGGCCCTTCCTTTCCAGCCAATGTCCCATCATCCCTCAGCCCCAGCATTCTACATTTTAGCTGTAATGGAAGAGTCACAACTCCATAACACAAGTACTATATTTTTAGGGTTTTCAACTCCCTTATCTCTCTCTATATTGTTCCCTCTCCCCAGACATCTTTTTCTCACCCGGACAAATGTTAGTCATTGTTTGCTCCTAGCTCTAAAGTCACTTGCCCTGCCAAAGCCTAATCTGTTTCAGACAGGGACAACCCTTTTCTTCTTTGTCTTCCACCCACAGGACTTGACCCAAACTGCCTGCCAGTATTGTGTTTCTACCAGTGGAGTAAGACTAGTCATATATTTTCTTTACCATCCTGGCTCCACCACCTAGTCCCAAATGGTCATTTTTGTTAGGTCACTAATCCTTGAGGGAAGCACACAGCACTCAAAATATGTCTGTTGCTTTGACTCGAATAGGCACCTAAGAGGAAATATAAATAAACATATGTATATATATATAAGACTCAACGCCCTTAGTAATTAGGGAAATGCAAATTAATGACTGTATATATACTATGGTCCCCATTAACAACCATTAAACTGAGTAGAAATTAAATACCCAATGCTGGTCAAAGCTTTGGGAAACAGACACGTTCACACTTGGCTAGTAGACAGGTAAGCTGACATGATCCTTTCAAGAAGCATACTTAGGTAACACTTCGCAAGAGCCAGCTGGTATAGTTTGACTCAGTCCCTCACCTAGGAGTTTCAAAGCCAGTGAAATAAGCCAAAAGAAAAAAATTCTATAAGTAGTGAAATACTTATATCCGTGGGACTTAAAATAATGGAGACAATAGAAAGAATAAACAAGTGGGACTTCATCAGACTAAAGAACTTCTTCAAGGCAAGAGAAAACAGGGCTGGAACAAAAAAAAACAACCCACTAATTGGGAAAAAATATTTGCAAGTCATATATCTGACAAAAGGTAAATCTCCATAATATATAAAGAAATCACAGAACTCAACAAAAAAGATCAAACAACCCGATCAAAAAATGGGCAGGAGACGTGAACAGACATTTCTCCAAAGAAGATATACGGATGGCCAATAGGCACATGAAAAGATGTTCATCATCACTAATCATCAGGGAAATGCAAATCAAAACTACACCAAGATATCACCTTACACCCATTAGAATGGCAAAAATAACCAAAACAAAAAGTAACAAATGTTGGAGAGGTTGTGGAGGAAAAGGAACCCTCATACACTGCTGGTGGGAATGCAAACTGATGCAGCCACCATGGAAAACAGTGTGGAGATTCCTCAAAAAATTAAAAATAGAAATACCATATGACCCAGCCATCCCTCTACTGGCTATCTATCCAAAGAACTTGAAGTCAGCAATTCCAAAAGCCCCATGCACCCCAATGCTCATTGCAGCATTATTTACAATAGCCAAGATGTGGAAGCAACCTAAGTGCCCATCAACAGATGATTGGATAAAAAAAGATGTGGTATATATACACAATGGAATACTACTCAGCCGTAAAAAGAAAAAAATCATCCCATTCACAACATGGATGGACCTTGAGGGAATTATGTTAAGTGAAATAAGCCAGATGGAGAAAGACAATCTCTGCATGACTCCACTCATATGTGTAAATTAAACATGTAGACAAAGAGAACAGATTAGTGGTCACCGGGGAAATGGAGGGTGGGAGGTGGGCACAAAGGGTGAAGTGGTACACCTACAACACGACAGACAAACGATAATGTACAACTGAAATTTCACAAGGTTGTAAACTATCACAATCTCAATAAAAATTTTAAAAATTAAAAGATTAAAAAAAATAATAGAGAACTGGAAACATCCCACTAATGGATGATTAAATAGTTAAATTCTAACATTATGAAACACCTTGCAGCTACCAGAACATGGAGAAACATGAAACCGTGTTTGCAAAGTAATGTAAAAGAACAACAGTGTTTAAAACTGTATCTACCGGGGCCTGTCCGGCGGCGCAGCAGTTAAGTTCGCACGTTCCGCTTCGGCGGCCTGGGGTTCACTGGTTTGGATCCCGGGTGCGGACATGGCACCGCTTGGCACGCCATGCTGTGGTAGGTGTCCCACATATAAAAAAAAGTCGAGGAAGATGGGCACAGATGTCAGCTCAGGGCCAGGCTTCCTCAGCAAAAAGAGGAGGACTGGCAGCAGTTAGCTCAGGGCTAATCTTCCTCAAAAAAAAAAAAAAAAAAAAAAGGGAAATGCTCAGGATATAATGTTAAGTAAAAAAAGTGTAGGATATGAGTCTATGCATAGTATGGTCTCAAATTCATGGAATGAAAATGTGGAAGAAATGTAGATGGAAAGAATATTGTAAACTTT